AGTTGGAATTTCATCCACAAATGGCATGTGGATTATATCCAGATGTTGTTGGTTAGGAACAAATGAAAGTGCCCTCCACAAGGGATTGTCTCTGTAAGTCCCACCTCTGGCGGGCTAAAAGGACCTTCCAAGTTGAAATGGTCCCCTGAGCAAGAGGGTACCGTTGAGTGGTTGCTGTCTAGAGGTAGTTAATAACATGGTCACACATAGCAGCCGCAGACAGCCCCCACATGAGCTTCCGGGGAGGTGCAGCTCAAATCAGGGGGCTCGACGTCTGCCATGTGCGCGCGTGTTTGTGGTGGTTCGAGGTGGTAGGCCACCCTGCAGGGGTCTCTGTAAGGCCACATTTAGTTAGGCATGTTTGGGGTCCCAAGCTCGAGTTTAATGTTGATGATGAAAGGGTAGTCTGGATGGGGTGAAAATGTCAACTTTATGAAATAAATGAGTGTTGGGGTTTCAGTGTGAAGGGGGGAAACAGAATGCTTTTGATTGTTTCACAGTTTGAAGGGCTTCTTGATTACACGTGCAACTCATGCATCACATGTAACATAAATAAACAGCAGTTTTATGAGCCTTGTGTTTTGAATGCTTGACATGGCTCTTAGCTGGCATGGGAATGTACTGGCAATTAAGAGCATCCACACCAGGTTCGGGAAGGCCCTTTCTGCGAGCCAAACGTCCAGTAGCGCTCCACCAGCCTCCCAAAAAATGGGCGAGGCCATAAGGGCTCGCGGTATTCCGCAAGCCTACCAAAAAGGCGTTGTTTTGGGGGGAGTTTTTTTCTTTTGTTTTGAAATCAGCCGGCAACGGTAAATTAATAGTGCGATAAGGCCCTGTTTGAGGGCAATTTTTTTTTGGAAAAAATCTAAAAATGGGTTATTTTGAGCTATTTTTTAAATAAAATTTATTAAATAAAAAATATATTATTTAGCTTTGTGTTTTAAATGCGTGATATGGCTCCTAGCTAACGTGAGAATATACTAGCAACTAAGAGCACCTTTCAATGGCATCGATCTCCAAATTTTAGCAATTCAGAATTGTCACCTAAAATTTTTCAAGAGCGACATCATACTTTTCAAGAGTCACTTGGACTCTCCAAATTTTAGTTATAGCATGTGCGGTACATTTTTGCTCTCTAAAAATATTAATAATTATTTTTTTTTTCTTTTTTTTTTTCAAGGGCTATATTTAAAACGATTATATTAAAAAGAAATTGAAAAATATAATATTCATTATGAAATAAAAGAAATTAAACAATATAATATCCATTATGAAATAAATAAATAAATAAAATTAAACAATATAATATTCATTATGAAATACAAGAAATTATACAATTATTTTTTAAAAAAATGTAAAATTATTTTTTTGGGTGCCGCTCTTTAATCTCAGTATTATTTAGGTGGGGAAAATAAAAACAAAACAAAACAAAAAGCCAAAAAAGACTGATTTTTGGCATATTTCTCAGACAAACATGCCCTTAATAGCCTTTGACCGGTGTGTGCGCCTTATTTAGAAAAACAATCAAACAAAATTAAAAGCGAGCCCGCATGGCAGGCCGCGTACACTCAAAACGGCGACCCATTCAGCGATTCACAAAATTTGGGCTAAATTTCGGCAAGCCCATTGGAGTACCCAATTCGCAAAATTTGACCCATAATCACCGAAAAGGCTCCCAATGGAGCTGCCCTAAGATTAGGGGCGGAGTCAGGAATTTGTTTCAGGGGATGCGCCATATTAAAGATGATAAATTATATTTTTTTCAAGCGAAAAGTGATGCAAGACAATAAATCAAAAAATAAAACTGTACTAATGGTGGAATAATAGCATTTAATAATTTGAAAAATAATTATTTAAAAAAAATAGGAACATAAAAATATCGACCTTAACGCAACAAATTTAATTACCAAACTTTGAAGAGAAAAAAAAAAAAATAGTTTGAATAAAGGAATGCAACTTTTTTTAAAAGAGAATATAAAGAAGAAGAAGAAGAGGAGGAGAAGGAGTAAAAATGAAAAGAAAGGAAAAATTAAAGATATTTTTTAAAAATAATTATTTTAGTGGGCATTTTTGTAAAATTTTATAAATTATAGGCCTATTTGCAATAAAAATTAATTGGCCCAAGGGTAAATAATTATTTCAGGGGGCATTTTTCAATTTTTTATAAATTATTGGCCTATGTGTAATAAAAATTAATGGCCATTTTCTTAAAATAAATTATTTCAGGGGGGGCATTTTGAAAACTTTTATAAATTATATGCCATTTTGTAATTAAAACTAATGGGCCAGCATGGGCCTCCCTGGGCCTATGCTGGCTCCGCCCCTGTCTAAGATGGTTCAACTCTCTATTTGAATCTCTCTAATAATTTTTCTCTCCAAAACTCCATACAACAATAAATAAAAAAATGTGTCACTTGTCATCATTTTTGTAACAAACTACTATATTTTTGTTTTCCCAAACTTGATCCAACAAAAGGGTGATGTGGTGTTTTTGGAGAGGAAAATTGTTGGAGAGATCCAAAACCCTCAACTCTCCAAGACATTTTGGACAAAAAGGTTAGAGTTTACTCTGTCTAATTTGATATTCATTTTATTGGGTTTGAAATGTATTTTATAATTTGAATATAAGCCAGAAAACAAAAAACAAAAACCTTTTTTAACAAATGAAAATTTGAAATATGTAGGCCATAATGGATTTTTGAGTAATTTTGAACATTATGCATTTAAGAGATCAAAAAATAGGGCACTAAATGGATCAAGCTCACCTGAGATCTAGACTGAGACCATTGAATGGGGTTCAGATTTATTCAAATATCCATGAACTGTGTATGGATCTGACATGGATGCTTTGTTACTAAGATTTAACTTTGAATTAGATTTCAATAATGACTCTAATATCAAAATATAAACTGTCTCAAATTTACATGAATTTCATGTTTGTGTCCAAAAGCAACATATGAGACACTAGAGCACAGAGAAAAATAAGAAATTAAATAGGAACAAAGAACTCGTATGTCATTATTCAAAGAGATTGATAGAGCTAGTACTAAATGTATTCAAAACTTGCGTCTTGTAATGTGTCACAGAGATCACAATTTCTGTCAATATTTCGTCATTGCGATGGCACCAAGTAAACCAAATTGGATTTGTCATATTTCAAAGAAAGTCTAACACCGTATTTCAAATTATTGGACTCGATACATGAACATTTGTCATAAGTCACCTTTAATGTTATGCCATTGTTATTGCAAATGAGTAGAGCTAAAATTTAGTGTCGTACTCAAACTCAAATCAATCATCTAAGGCTCCAAGTAGGTCAAACATGTTCGGGCATAGTTAGTAAAATACTATACATATATTCATATTTTTGGGTATGATATTTATTTTTATTATTATTATTATTATTATTTTTTTGGTAAGTTTTGCCATTAAAATTTTGACCACATATACCATTTTTTCTCTCTTCATTTCAATAATATAAAAATTAGAAATAATAGGTGGATTTTATAAAATGGAAGAATTTGGTATATTTGAGAAGATTTCATAATAATAAAAAATTTGTAAATATATAGATATTTAGGTAGATATTTTTAAAAATTAAATCGTAATTATGGATTGTAAATTCATGGTAGCCGTCCAAATAGGAAGGAGAATTTTTGAGAATAGTAAAGAATTGGTAAATATGTTTTCCGAATGCCTTAAAAGTATCCAGTTCTCTTGAAAAACAATTAGGAAAAGTCAATGAAATAATTGAAGTGTTTAGGCAAGTGAAGATTAATCTGCCTCTCTTGGATGCAATTAGACAAATTCCGGCTTATGCCAAGTTTTTGAAAGATCTTTGCGCCCTTAAGATGAAGAACAAGAGCCAAGTACCAAAAAGGTTGTTTTGGCCGAGCAAGTAAGCTCCATTTTGCAACATAACACTCTCCCAAAATTCAAAGACCCCAGCTCATTGTTTTAAAAAAAAAGTATTAGTATTTTTCGTCATTGACCGTTAACAAATGGGAGGTATGTATTCCTACATTTATACACAAATTTCAAGAGAGAATGTTTGAGAGAGAAAAAAAATTAACTAGATACTTCAAATTAATGGGATTTTATATACATAAAAACAAAATTAAGACAAAGTCTGTACTAAGATAGTTTTAGAAACTAGATAATGCCATGGAGATATCTATATAAGTAGGAGTTAAGTCTCATTTGTGGTAAGCAGCCTCAAACTTCAAGAGAAAATGTGAGTTTTAAAAGTAAGCGAAATAAAAATGGTATTTTCAATTGTTTGAGTTGTATTCAATTTAGCCAACATCAAGATTGAAATATGACAATCTTTAAAAAGTTTGAAATTTGTTTTGCTCAAATTTCTGAAAAATATTTCTCCAAATGAAAAACTAAGCTAATGAGCCATTTGTTTAAATATCAATCTACTGGCTTTCCACCGGTTTCCATTCCGAATTCATATAGTGGATAATCAGCATGCTACTACCGATGATCTTTTGAATGTGGTACTTATTGGGCCAAAAACTAGCTAAATTTCATTGTGGTCTTAGTTGAATAGTTGTAGACGGTTGGTGGAGTCTAGGCTTAAATTTAATCATTCGTCAAATAATAAGTTCAATCATCAACAACATGATGGTGGGAAGAAATAAAATGAGGATAAAGAATAGAAAAGAAACAATTGAGAAAGAGAGATTAACATTAAACAAATGGTGAAGATACAAAAACAGGTTTCAGTCATCACTGATAGTAAAAGTAAACCAGAAGAACCAACCCTGCCTCCCCAACAATAAATTAAGAATATATAGTTTAATCCCCACAAACAATCACATAACAGGAAATGATACACAACACAAGAATCAAATAGATCAACACAAGACTTACCCAAGCCAGTAAGCACCTAAAAACTCCTAATACCAAATTTAAACAAAAGAATTAAATTTGAAAAATAAACTTAAAAATTACTAGTTACGGATGCTAAACGAGGTGTTAGTCTATAAACAATTTAACAAACAGGGTGAGGCCATGTGAAGATCGGCAGAGTTTGAATCAAAATGTACTGCTACTTTCACTGGCAGAAATTGAGGGACCTTCGGACTTAACAAAGTGAGAGCCTCTGCCATTGATATCAAGCCCTTGCAATTGACCTAGGGGATCCTGCTGCAACATCTCTGAGAAGCCCTGTGAGTGGGTTGCAGCGAATTGAGGACGCTGATGGGTTGATATGTTAGAGTGGAGGGGATGAAACTGTGGTGTTTGTATCTTCTGGGGGTCACTAGGCCGTAGTTGTGGCTGTTGTGAAAAGAAGGACGACTGATTATATGGAAAATGGTGCATTCCCAAATTGTATGCATCTGAGGCGGTTGTCATTTCACCGGTGGCGATTTTGAGCCTTTCTACTTCATGCTTCAGTGCTTCATTCAAAGCTGTGTTCAAACAGAATGGTACAATTATACATCCTATTTAAGAACTTCTCAGTGTGCATATTAAGAAAAGATAAAAACAAGAGCACAATAACAGACCGCTATAAATCTGAAATGAGAGGAACAAGAGGTTACGAAACTTACAATATTGATGAACCCAATATAATTAGTATTATCTAAAGGATCCAAAATTAATACCAAACTTCAAAACATCATCAAATATTTTTTGTGCATCTTAGGAAAAGATCATTGGACAATAAGATGGGATGAATTTTATATTACTGTAGCCTCCAGACTGCTAAATAGAGCTGAAATTGGATTTCTTACTATGGAACAAGTTAAAAAGTCTGACATGTATCCTAAACATGCTCAGGAAAGACGCGTGAAACACGAAGGTTATATTGAACAATATGAAAATAGTTCAAAAACCAGGGTTTGTTTGAAATGTACCATCGCGTAACTGAGCTTGTTGTTCCATAGCTTGTAATCGAAGCTTTAGCTCAGCATTTTCGTTACTCAGACCTGTTGTATCTCTCTGTAAAAAAATAATAATAAAATGAAAATAATAAAATAATAAATAAATAATGAGGTCGTGAGCTTCGGATTGCAGTGTATAATAAAAAGCAATAAATGGTAGGCAAATATAAAATATATTTAAATAAATGGAAATTTCATTACATCAGAAGCTCTTAAAGCAAACCTATTAAGCTTATACAAACACGTGAAAATGTATCAGATTCCCACAAGTGAAGTAAAAGGTTGTTAATCAAGTTCTGATTTTCAGGAATCACTAAATGTAAGAAAAAGACAATAGAATGAAGATATGAATATTCAAATTGCAAGGAAAATAGAACTGCTGGTGGTGAGGGCAGGAGAAACACCAAGCGCAACTCCTTTAGACACAATAATATATATACCAACTATAAATCAATCAACCTAGAAACTCATCTATCTCAAAAACTCTAATAAATAAATAAATAAATCTATCCCAAAAGCCAAAATTAAATTAATAAAAAGAAAAAGAAAAGGCAGGAAGCTCATAAACAATCCTTCTTACTGCCTTTAAGCCACTCTAATGAATAAACCATCTATTTCACTTCAAACACACTGTTAGACACAATTGTAACCAGGCCGCAACACATAATTAACTCCTGCCAACCCCTTTTTTCTGTTCCTCTCTCCCACCCCCACACACCCCACCACCACCACTACCATTGATTGGGGCATGACCAATAAAGCCCAAATACCAAGAAAAGACAAGAATCTAGTTCCCAAGCAATTAATCAGTAGACCGTTCACTGTCTCCTCTGCTCTCTTACACATCACATGCAAAACTAATCAGGGAGGACTTACGCTATCCATCAAGTTAAGGGGGTCAAGGTTTGTTGAAGTCTAAGCAGGAAAAGGTTATAACATGTAACATTTTCTGTAACCAAAGAAGAAACTATTTTGGACTATTTCGAAGCGTTTCGTAACAAACAAGAACTTGGTCGGGTGATCAGCACAAAATATATCTTCACTTATAGCACACATATTCAACCAGCCCAAAAAGAAAAAAAGGGGCTTGAAAGTTGGACACAATCTGAATTCAAAAAGGGATCGGATATGGATATTCTTAGAAAGATCCATCGCGGATTTGGGCCGGGGATGGCTTTGGGTAATTCTCAAATGGATCAGGTTTTGCAAGAGATGCAACCCAGATCAAGTATATTTTACTCCATCTGGATCCCATTTAAATTATATGGGTAGGAATTGTAGATTCATATGATCCGACTGTGGATCCGGATTCATACGAAATGCCCTCCAGATCTGCACCATTGTTTGTTGTTTGTACTTCTGAGTCATAAAAAAAATGAATATTTTTTTGGGTAATTCTCAAATGGATCAGGTTTTGCAAGATATGCAACCCAGATCAAGTATATTTTACTTATCTGGATCCCATTAAATTATATGGGTAGGAATCATAGATTCATATGATTCGACTGTGGATCCGGATTCATTAGAAATTTCCTCCAGCTCCGCACCATTGTTTGTTGTTTGTACTACTGAGTTAAATAAAAAATAAAAATTACTTTGATACCAAATCAAGTGTTTTTCATTGAAAATTTTAAAAGCTTAATACACTAAGTCCGTTAATCAAACATCAACTATCACTTAAAAAAGAATGTCAATTAAAAGGGGTCTAAATGTTAAGTTAGAGCAACCTGGATATAATTGAATGCAGAATGTGCAAAGTCAAAGGTAATAGTTTACTATGAATTTTATATTTTTCAAAGCAACACAAAACTCTCAAAATTTTCAGGACTACTAATCCATCACTAAATTTTATCAATTAGAAGGGAAAAAAAAAAAAAAATTCTCACAAAGCGAGCCACAAGAATAGTCCAGGAATCACCTGGAACAATGTGAGTTGTGCAGAGAGGGTGGTTGCTTCTGTTTGCAGGGTCTGAACTTTTCTCTCAAGTTCTGTGATGTAACGTGCCTTTCTCTCTTTTGAACGAGCAGCAGACTGCCGGTTAGCCAGAATCCTGTATATTAATTGTGGAATGTCAGATAATATCAGAAGTACAGAAAAACCAAACACAAGTTATTTTACTTGAGAATTTTTTCTCAGTTAACTCCCAACATGACCAAAAGCAAAATGGGTAACTATGTAAGATTAGCTACTGCCATTAAGTAAATCTTTTTTCCTTTTTTATTTTCTTTTACAGATTTTGATGCAAATATGATATGTGGTCATACAAATAGAGTTAATAAGCAATAGACGCGTGTAAAAACATACAATTGTCCTTAAGAAATCAGAGCTCACATACAACAGGAGTTGCGATGCAAATATTGATTAGTCAAGCAGTCATCAATCAAGAGCATGCTTTAGATAGGGCATGAATGCAATAGCGACAATACAAACTACCCAAGGACACTGTTAGGCCCAATTGACTAAGTACACAAGTTTCATTTTCCAATCTAACTGAAGAAAGTAAAAGATGTCAATAGAATTGGAATGATCGATATCGTTGCAATAATTCAATACCAACCGGATATAGTCTCCTTAACAGTTGGTAGCAATAATTCAATACTAACTGGATATTGTCTTCTTAACAGTTACACAAAAAGGCAGATTCTGTTACATAAATGCACAACATACTTTTGTTTATTTCATACTAACAAACCCTTTGCAGGAATCCAATGTAACCACAAAAGCTATTTGCACAACAAAATTGGAAACAGAACTTTGTTGATTGGCTTGATCTGAGCAAACTTCTGGCACTTGGTCATAAGCCATTTTTTTTTTAATGACCCAGAGAGAACAAGATATTCAGGGCCCATTAAAATATTCTAGTCATTGCACAACTTGCTTAGAATCACTTGTTATGGCCCAAAGGAACATCTTGAGATTACTATTGCTTATGACTATAGTCCCTCAGTTCAACAGAAGAGTGCACACATCATCTCAAATTCTCACAAACTTCATAGTGATGAATCTACCTAGATATTGACATATAACATCAAAAATTCAATATTTATACTTCCCACTTACTGAGGCAGAAATCGCGATGAAACATCAATTAAGTTGTCTCTAAAGCATCAAGAAGCCAATCTTATTTGAAGTGAAATCAAGTTTTTAATGTTGGTCAGTGCAAACTTTAACCCAGAGTGCAGGCTAAAGGGGAAAAATAAAAATTTGACTTGAACGAGCTATAGATTTACATAAATCTGTTCTTAAAGCTTTTCTGGGACTTCTAATTTTTTTCACTTGTACCGAATTAGATTATATTAAATCCACCCACATTCCGATATCATAACGAACAAAAACATTGGCTTCCATGAAATTATTACAGTAATCTTCAACAATTAATTAAAATCAGCAATATACATGCATGTATACAGATATAGATATATATAGTTATAAGTGTGTGAAAAGTAAGACAGTGACAGTAGCACCTCTTGGCTCTCTTGGGATCAATCGTCCACAATTCAGCAAGCTTATCAGGAGCCATTGCTTTCTTGGCCTCTATAGATTCACCAATAAGCATCGATCCATCAACTGAATTGCTATGCCGGTGCCGAGGCCTCGCGGGCTTTTCATCTTCGCCGGTCACCGCTCCACCACCGCCACTTCCGCCGCCGGCATTGTCGATCCGTCCATCCATATGGCCGTCGTTTAAGTTGGATCCAAGCTTCTCAATGTCCATGTAAGTGCAGAAGAGATCGTCCTCCGATCCGATCTCATCGAAACTCCCCGACGGTGCATCGAATGGGTCGGAGACGAGATCTAGATCGTCCGGTAGCCGGAAGTTGACCTCGGAGTGGGCTCGCCGGTGGTGGGAGGGCCTGAATGAGTTGTTGGAGGGGTTGGCGAACGACGTAGTCGTAGCTGGTGGTGGCTTCGCAGCATTTTGGGAGTTAGGGTTTGAATTTGATGGATCTTGCATTTCGCTGGTTCTCTCTGTGAATCTATGGCTCTCTCTGCCTTGTTCTTCGCTACTCACTACTCTCTCTCATGGTAACTTTGAGAGAAGTTCAGACACTGTGAATCTTCAAAGGGTGTTTATGGAATTTCAATTTAGCGAAGACATGATTGGATTAAGGCATGAAATGGATCGGGGATTGACTAACCGGGTTTGGGTTGTAATTTTAAAACGAGTAATAATAGTTTGATTGGCAACGTGAAAATTCAAAATTTGATTTGGTTAGGCCACGTTTCAGTTAAAAAAGAAAGAGTCATCTTACTTGATATAACTACAATGAAAAAAAAAAAAAAACTCTCCCAAAATTTGACTTGGTTAGGCCAAGTAAGAGTTAAAAAAAGAAAGAGTGATTTCTTACTTGATATAACTAAAATGAAAAAAAAAAAAAAAAAAAAAAAAAATCTTCAAATTTGCGTAAGAGTTAAAAAAAGAAATACTGTCTCTTACTTGGTATGACTGAAAGGAGGAAAAAAAAAAATCTCCAACATGGGAGGGAGAGAGAAAAGAAAATAGTCACAAATCAAAAATTACATCCGTGTTCCATATTTTTAAATTCACAAAATAGAAATTTATAAAATTATATAATTTGACTATATCAAATCATTTTAATACTAAGTCAAAATTTCATTAACTACTAATTTTAACAAAAACAAAAACAATACTAAATAAAAACTCATGACTCAAAATATATACGCACAGCGTTAAAATTTCATTAATCTATACTCTGTTATGCATGTTTTGAGATTTAGAACTTTAGTAATGAGGACAAGGGAGAGTTTTTAGTTTTTGGTTTGTGATGGGAAAGAGGAAGCGCCATGTTTTCTTTTCTTTTTTTTCCTTTCAGTTATACCGATGACTCTTTCTTTTCTTTTTTTTCCTTTTCTTTTTTCCCTTTCAGTTATACCGATGACTCTTTCTTTTTTAACTCTGACGTGGCCTAACTAAGTTAGATTTGGGGAGTTTTTGCATTGCCTATCATTACTCTTTTAAAACAACTTGAATACGAGTTCAACATGTGTTCTTTAAAATTAGGGATTGGGTTTTTCCTAATATTTCAATCCAATTCTTGTGTTTGTTATTAGGTTATAATTTATTTAGGGTGTATTCGACTGCATGGAATTGGAATCAGTGAAATTTGAGAAAATTTTAGTTCAATTTTCTTAATTATTTTTTTAAAATTGTACCAATTCTAATTCCAAATCTCCAATTCTATGCGACCGAACACACCCTTATATATGAATTTGAGATTAAATTTGCATGGATTCACTTAGGATATGTTCGCCTCGTGACATCAAAGATAGGAATTAGCCAAATCAGTTTGAAATTGTGTGTCAAATTTGACCCAAATTTACTAATATGGTGTAAGACATTACTCATTGAAATAGTTGATAGGGCACATTATTTATACCATTTTGGTTAGATTTTAGAAAATGGTCCTGACAATAATGCTACAACGGAACTAATTAATTAATTACTATATAATAGATCCTTAGCTACTGAATTACTATCTACCATCCTTAACGAGCATTCGTTATTATTCAATATTGGTCCTCTTGATCAAAAGCTGTTGATAATGACAGTCTAATATTGTAAATGTCTCGATAGCCCAGTGGTTAGTGTCACCGGCGGATTTTGGAAGTGCCAGGTTTCGACTCTTTGCACCTACTAATCTGACTTCTAACCCTTCTTGCATAATAATAAAAAAATGACAGCATGATATTTTCACTTTTTTTCTCCTGATATTTTAACTACTTTCACTAACAATTTTTCACACACTAGCATTTATCTTCAAACTCAATTCTGAATTCTATAGATAAGCAACTTTTTATCAACATATTAATAATAGATATGTGAATCAATAATTAGTATTTGATTTTAATCTTCTAACTGGTGAAGTTTGTCCTTAGGAATCAAGTAATCCCAATTCCACATAACCATGTAATAATTTTTCGTAACGACCGACTTCACCTTAGGCCTCAACCACCATGGGTCCATGGTGGTTCACATAATTCAAAGCCATGACTCAACTCTAATTATTCATTTTCCCAACTGTTTCTCACATTTTTCACACCTAAAAAAGGCCATTGATTCATTGTGAGATTAGCAAAGTAGTTGAGTACATTACTACATTTATATATATTGATGGAACTTGTATGAAGGAGAAGATGGAGTCCATCACCACATAACACGTGTCCAGCTCGATTTAATCCATGGACCACCGGCTAACATCATGAAATAGACCGGGGGTGGTGTGGACCACAGCTCCATGGCCATGGATGTATTTCTTGAGCAACATCTTCTCCATGCACCAGTTTTATTTCACACATCACATATATATATATATATATTGGCTATATATTTCTATATATCTATATATTGTCCTCCGTGGGAATGACTTGTCTCTGTCACAAACAACATCAAGCAATTCAACTTATATGACAAATTGTTTAATAAAAGTGAAGCAATTCAATGTATTTGATAACAAAATGTTGATCTCTATTTCACATCAATAATGTATTTGACAACAAAATGTTGATTTATATTTCACACCAGGCGTTGAGATTCATGATCATTGATTATTTCGAGATTTCTTCATTTGCTTCCTATACTATCATTGATCATATATACACACTACTAAAAGCATAATATGGGTAGGTCACATATCATTGATCATAATTCATGTTGGAATTTTTATATATATATTTAAATAATAAAAATTATTTTATGATCCTATGTACTACGTTTTCTAAAATAGGATTGTAATGTGATTTTTGATACTTGATGGATTAAGTTGTACTTTTCAATTTGGTGGTCTAATTGGGAATATAGTTTTATACCGTTGGATTGTGGTTTTCCAACTTATTTGGTGTGATTTAATTCTAACCATTGATATCTAAGTTTTCATGATAGAAAGGGAGATTTAAATGTGCTTGTTTGTAGAGAAGCCGTTCCCCCTGTTGTTGTTATATATAAGTGTTTTAAAACCCTTATTCAGTCCTATCGTATCGACAATTTTCAGAGGGGGGTAAAGCGCTCTATTTTTCAGATCTCTCAAAGGGCCATAAGGAATTCTCAGAAGGCAGATCTCTCAAAGGGCCGTAAGGAATTCTCAGAAGATATATGTGCGTTAATCATCAATTAGGTACGAGCCTAAATTTCTTATTTAATTAATTGTAATATTCTTGATTTTTATATGTGAATTATTTATTTAAACCCAATAATTCAATGTATTTGACAACGAAATGTTGATTTCTATTTCACACCAGACGTTGAGATTCATGATCATTGATTATTTCACACTATCTTAATTTGCTTCCGCTACTTTCATTGATCATATGTACACACTACTAGCTCTAGTCACTTTCATGAATTGGATGTTCTATATGATTGTAGAAGCAAACAAAACATCACTCTTCTTCCATTGTTGTACTAAATTTTCAGCAGTAAAAAACTTGCACGTGTATCGGTGTATACATATATTTACATGGGTCATGGAAAAAATATTCCTAAAATATGTTTATATGTATATCACATCTTTTACGTGGAAAAAATACCACTAAAATTTTAATTTAGTGCAAATAGATCTTTTGATAAATTTAAATCTTAAATTAACTAAATTACTCTTACTAAACAATTTTATAACATATATAAAAATAAATAATTTTATAAAATGACCGAAAATACAGTATTAGAGAATGTCCTCGCGTGTAAAAAACACCCATAAAATTTCAATTTAGTGCAAATAGGTCCATCTAATAAATTTAAAGCCTAAGTTAACTAAATTACCCTTACCAAACCATTTTACAATATATAAGTAAATAAATAATTTTGTAAAATGACCGAAAATGACACAATTGGAAGATGTCTTTGGCGAAATAGGTCCCTCTGACAAATTTAAACCCTAAGGTAACTAAATTACCCTTACTGAGCCATTTTACAAAATATATAAAAATAAATAATTTTGTAAAATGACCAAAAATGACACTATTAAAGGACGCTGGCAATGGACAAATAAAGATAAAAATTGAAAATAAAAATAAAAATAAAAGTATAATGCTACGTTTGGTGTGCCGAAATGGAATGGAATGGAATGCCCATTCCAACCATTCCACCACTACAGCCCCCATCGCCTTTCACCACCTTCCACCACCACCACCGCCATCGTCTTTCACCACTACCACCTTCCACCACCACCGTCACCATCGCCTTTCACCATCGTCACCACCTTCCACCACTACCACCACCGCCACTTCCACTGCCTTCCATCACTACCATAGTCACACCACTATTTCCTTCCACTACAACCACCACACTACTACCACCGCCTTCCACCAACACCACTACCACCAATTTCCACCATTGCCACTGCCGCCACCTTCCAACACCACCACTAGAATGGATATTTTGTTATTTGTTACTAAGAGAGATATTTTGAAGAATTCAATTATAAATTTATTTCATTCTAAATTTTAAATTGGTTCAACCAAACACTAGAATGGTTGTTATCATTTCATCCCTACACATTTCATATTTACAACCAAACAATAGAATGAGAATGAACATTCCATTCCATTCCCATTCTCATTCAATTCCCACTTGCATTCCATTCTATTCCTGCACACCAAACATAGCATAAAAGAAAGTAAAGATAAAAATAGAAAATAAAAAACTAAAATAAATAAACTAAAGAAAATAGATCTTTTCCAAATTCTGAAAATCAGTACATACTGATATTGGGATTTTTTTTTCCTTTTCAGCAAACTAAAATATAAAAAAAAAAAAAAAAATTCAAATCCTTATTTTATAAAGAAAAATACTTGAGTCATGCCCCATCAAGACAGATTGTGTCCTGCATATTAACGTGTCGCAATAAGAGGTTGACACCTCTTTTAAACTTGAAAAAATACAAAAGCCAATAAGAGGTTGACACCTCTTTTAAACTTAAAAAAATACAAAACATGGGTTATACCCATTTTTTAGGGTTAAACTCGATAAATCTATTTTTTTTTTCCTCTTTGCTCCCATCTATGTATCTTTATTTGCATCTTTTTTTTTTTTTTTTCCTAAACCGCCAATCATTCCAAACCTAATATTCCCATTGTGTCCTCTACCACTCCGCTTCAGATTAGATTTCAATTTTGATTTGGTCTTAGTAAGGATTGATTCATTTTTTTAAAACAGGTATGTTAAAATATTATATTTGTCCAGCGTGTAATTTTTATCTCTTTCAAATTGCTTAAATCAAGTAAGAGATTTTGTTCAAATTTTGAGTTTTTTTCTCTTTCAAAAACAAGGACAATGGCTTATGTTCTGTTCCTTTTGCTCTCATTCTTATTTACAGAAAAAAGTACGTAGGAAATAAAAATAAGATAGAAACTGTAGAATTGAGTGAAAAAATAAATAACTTTCATATATAGCATGCATAAAAAACAGTTGAGATAGATTTTAAAAAGGAAGAAATAGAAATGGTTAGTTTAATTTTTTTAAGGTTAGTTTTCTATCTTAAGAAAATTTAAAATAACAGAAAGAGGTAGAAAATACAATTTTTCACGAGTTAATTAAAAATAACATTCAAATTTGAGTAAGGAAAAAAATAGATCTATCGGGTTTAACAATAAAAAATGGATATAACCTATATTTTGTATTTTTTTTTAAAGTTTAAAAGAGGTGTCAACCTCTTATTATGACTAGTTAGTGTGTAGGACACAATCTGTCTTGATGGGGCTGGACTGAAGCATTGTCTTTTTATAAATTCTCAAAGTTTCCAAAAAAAATAAAAAATAAAAAAAAAGGTTTAGAGATATATATAAAGAAAAAAGTTTCAAAAAGATATAAAGGTAATATGTACATAATTTATACTATAAGAGTAGTAGTATATATATTTTTTTGGACATTTTCAGAAGAGTAAAAAGATAAAACGGGCATTACAATACTAATTTATGTCAGATTTTTAATTAAAGGATATTTTTGCATAATGTAAAAAAATTAGTGGTATGTTTTTATATATATTTTTTTAAAATAAGATAAAAATGTTATGCGATATATATTTTATGAGTGTTTTTGGTAATTGTTCCATATTTACGTACATGAGAAGGGGAGCTTACTGCTAATGTTTATGGAGAGTTTTGGAGCAAAAAAAAAAAAAAAAAAGGCAAAAGAACTAGACAGTGAGTTAAAGCGTGTTGTGAGAATGTAGTTCACACACATTTCTCATTAAATGCAATAACAACATGAAAGTCAATTTATGTATCAGGAAAAGATTTCCATGTATATACAAGCGTGACTGGTGAACATGGAGAATGGAGAAATTAACATTAGAAACGTGAAATGGTTGTGTTGGTAAAAAAAAGTCTATGAATGTCTTGTGAAAAGAATTATACCAAAAAAAAAAAAAAAAAAAAAGGACTAAACTATTCGAGTTCTATGATCTAGTAAAACATAACAAAATATATATATACATACAGAAGTACGATTTGAAAACGAGATCTTAAAAACTTACCTTTTAAATCTCTGTCAACACAATTATGTCCCTAAAATCAAACATAACAATATTTTACATCACATATGTCGTGTTCTATATATTTTGCTCTATATTGATAACAAAGCAGACATATTTAAGCCACATTAGGCCCCTTTCTCTTTTTTATTTTTTTGTTAGTTTAGGAGTTGTATGTGGTAGAGACGCTTGTGATTTATCTAATTTTGTTCCACCAAACTTGCACGCCTCCGACTTCCAATTTTGACCATGCCTTGCTCTTTTGTATGTCATTTATGTATGCCCTTTTTAATTATGTGTCAGACAACATTATTAAAAAAAAGCAAGACTTTCACTTTCAATGGATTACACAATCTCCTTATCAAACACACGATTGTGAGTTTTTAAAACGTGTGAAATGTTCGAATAATTTTTTTTATTTTTTATTAAATCTCTCAATTTAATAGTCAAACAAGAAGAACTCGTGCCTTTTGATCTTTTTATAAACTTAATCGAATCAAATATTATATAATGGATATACATTTTCATCAGTGACTATGAGTGCATTTGGTTTGCTTTTATTCACCTTAAAAGCTAAAATACAACGAAATCAATTTTAACAACCCAACTGATCAAAACTAATTTTAAATCATTAAAAAAAATTTGGATTAATTTAGTTTCATTGATTGAGCTTATCTATTAAAAATTTTTTTTAAAAAAAGTCTAATAATAATTATGTTTGCCTAACCTCAACTTTTATGACGTAAATAAAGTTTTTAATCCTATTCCATTTGAAATTTCATTTGTAGCTACTAAAATGTGATAGTAAAATAGTAATAATTAGGAGTAGACAAATAATTCGTAAATAACAAAAACTAAAATATTGTTTTATTAGTATGTTTATGAGAGTTAGTGGCATTGGCAACCTTAGTACCTTAATTGGTAAATTTTGCTACCATTAAAAAAATTTGCTACCATAGTGTGAGACTTTATCTCACATTTATGCATTACATGGTTACTAATCAATAACAATGTTCAAAAGTATAATATATATATATATATATATATATATATATATATATATATATTCATCGTGACACACATGACATATCACAAGTGTTTTTTTTTTTTGTTCATATATCACAAGTTTGTTTGTTTATTTAAAATTATGTTCTTTTATAGTAGTCTAACAAACTTATCAAGTTTAGTTAATGTTGTTTTATTCTAAATATAAACTTGAAACCATACCTTCTTTATTTTTGTAGTGGGACCCACCTTTTATCGTGTATTTATTCGGGTAGGCACACGTACCAATAAATATGAATTTGCATTTTGGACGTTCCAATATGGCGGTTTTGTGTTCAGTCGACTCAGTCCTCGTGAACTCACAGTACATGGGTCCGTTTTTCTTGCACAAAATATGATTGGTGTGTGATGCCTGGGATTCGCTCCACTACAACCGGGAGGAAACTCATCTTTACAACCCACACATCATACAGGACTGGTCCTATCCTCCCACAATCAATTTGACGTCATTTGGGTCACATTTACCTAAAATTATTTATTACAACCATAATTTGGTGTAATGAATGATTATAAACACTTTATTATTTTTGTGTGACATAAATCCAGTTGTCCCTCTCCTTTACTATATTTTGATAGTATTACTTCTGAAAAAAAACTTTTTATATTTAATAAAAAAAATCAAAACTCAAAAATTAGACTAAACAATACGAGTGAAAAATAAGTAATTAATAATGATAAATGACGTCATCATATACATCTCATTTGAACGTGCCTGATAGTCAATCTTGTTCCACTGCTTAGTTGGTTTTCTTTTGACTACTATTAATGGAAGATTAACTATCTGTAAAGTGGATGGCTAATATTTTAGTCTCCCAAAGTGTGTGTGAGATGTTTGGTGGACTCAAAAAAAAAAAAAAAAAAAATTAAAAAATGAATAGAAAAAAGTTAAAATAAATATTTTATATTAATGCTGTTTTTTTCCTTCTTTTAAAAAGTTAGAGTTGAAATCTGACACTTCAAAATTTACGAAAAATATTAATCCACTTGACTATCAAGACATTGTATGTTAACGTGGTAACAAACAATGATTATTATATATATATATATATATATATTACAACTCTAATAAATAAATAATGCCCACACGTGGTATCCCACTTTTATTTTTTTAGGTTTGCATTCCTATGTTAAAGAAAATGACATTTTAATTCTAAATTTATAAATAAATGATTTTTATTTTTTATAAGTAAATATAAATAAATAGTTCGAGATCACATAATAAAATTTTTTTTTTAAGTAAATAGAACCATTTTATAATAAGCTAAAATTTCATTGGTTGAAAGTAGCAATGAAGTGGCACACCCAATTTCTTGTTAGGAAAGGTGTTGTAGCCTGCTCAGCCGTAGGAAATTAAAACCCTACGTGGAGTTTCGTGGGGTGTTTCCGTTTGGTATTGCGTCAAAGAGAGCACAACCCTATATAAAAGGCGCCAGTCCTAAACCAGAGATTTTGCGAAACCCCAATACCAATCCCTTTCCTTCTTTGACCCAAACGCCGGTCAATAGTCCTCTCTTTTTTCCGATTAATCGATATATCAGATTCTCTTCATCGCCTTCTTTACAAACACTCACACACACACACACACACACACACACACACACACTCTCCTCCTCCTTACCACCAAAAATCGAAGACACAATCAATCGGGAAAAAACTGTTGCAGGGTCGGTTTCGAGGTTCAAACATCCCCAAATCGCCATCTGAATCAGATGGCGGCGACTCTGAGTCTCCGTTGCGTAGGAAACCACAACCACCAATTGGTTCGCAATCGATCGAAAAGCAGTCCTCGGACCGCTCGATTCCATTGTCCATTGTCGATCTCCAATCGGGTCATTAAGGAACGGCCTCGACTGATCTCTGCACCGGCGACAATGGTGTCCAATTCATCATCTTGTCTGTCTCATTACGAAAAGGTCGATAACAAGGAGGCATTGTTTGCAGAAAAGCTCGACGATTGGATGAGCGATTCGGTGTTGGAGATCGTCAAGAACCTTCGAGAAGCCCCACTTTTCGTGCAGGTCTACGACGACGAAAATGGGACGACGAGGTTGGAGACAGAGAAGGCAATCGCCGATGATTGGCCCGTCCTGACGCGTAAATGGACGGCCGGAGAGTCTCCGTCGCCTGACGGTGTCATACTCGTCGAAGAGCTAGAGGATGAAGATGAGGATGATGATGGTATGAGAGCGTGGGGAGTGGTGATACAGGGGAAGGGGGTGGAATGCGGGCCGGTTTGTTACCTGCTGAAGACGAGCAGGGTCGGGTCGGGTTTGGGTATGGGTTGCACTCATTTTTGTTTGGTGAGGGTTCAGAGTTTCAGGGAAAGTGCTCTGTCACAGCTCAAGAATTGCTGGTTGTTGCAGTGAGTCACTACTAATGGGATTGGTTGAATTTGATTTTTTTGTTAATTGGAAAAACCAATGTTATTGTTGTTGTTGGTTTAACATGAACATTTGGATTTTTGATATAAATGAATATAGAGATGTAATAGAAATTGTTTACACAAACAATGATTTTGTTCAATATACTTTAATGCATGCCATTTTAGTTTTATGTTGTGTGTGACATGGCTAAAATCGTAAATATATGGTTTAATCACATTTTGAGATCCTTTAAGACCCTAACAGTTTAATTATATATATTTATATATATGTTAAATTATATATATAATATAGTATAATCTTACTATTCAAACCACTTAAAAGTTTGTAGCAACTATTAATCATACGGTTCACTCTTAATTTTTTTCGATCTTATCAATTTATTAGATTATTTTTATTTTTTATTGATTTATAGTGGCTGAATTTTGTTGGTTTTCTAAATTATAACTGAATGTATTAGGTTATTAACAATTCTGAATGTATTTACTTCAATTTCTGAAGTGACATAAATTAAAAGTTTTGAATATATTAGTAGTTTTGAATGTGTTAGTTAACTTGGTTTATTGTTGTGCATTTGAATTTTGAAATATAAATATTTCTGTAGCGGGAAAAAAAAACCAGGAAAAAAAACAAAGAAATCCGAAAACAGAACCGAACCAAACTAGTTTGTCACGGTTTGGTTTCTTTGGTCAAATGGTTTAATTTGGTTCTAGATTTTCTAAAACCGTTAGGATCGATTTAGTTCTAAAAAAATTCTCAAATCGGTCCAAATTGAATCGTGTGCACCCCTAGTTATGGGGATCCATTTCATGACCATATTCCTCTTCCAAGATAAAATTGAATAGTCAATAAGCTCTGAAACATATTGTGGAGCATCTTGATTAAGTGGTTTTAATTTATAAATACGAAAATTTCAATCCAAAATCCATCCATCTATCGGACCAAATATTTATTGATTGACCATTGCCTACGAACCATTTTAATCCGGATCCAACTATTGATTGTGCTGCCATAGTACTTCCTATGCCTAGGACGGATGTTAGGCTACGTTTGGTATGCAAGAATGAAATGAAATGCAACTTGAAATGGAAAAAGAATAAGAATGGAATGAATATTCTCATTCCATTATTTGGTGTGACACGGTGAATCGTTATGGAATGAAATGATTATTACCATTCTATTATTTTGTTGACCATCATCAAATCTGAAATGGAATAATTTTACTTAAAAATACCCTTTTCATTGGTTTACATTAATTTTTAATAAAATCAATTTAATTATTATTCTGACAATGAATTATGGAATCGTTATGGAAGTCAATAAGCTCTGAAACATATTGTGGAGCATCTTGATTAAGTGGTTTTAATTTATAAATACGAAAATTTCAATCCAAAATCCATCCATCTATCGGACCAGATATTTATTGATTGACCATTGCCTACGAACCATTTTAATCCGGATCCAACTATTGATTGTGCTGCCATAGTACTTCCTATGCCCAGGACGGATGTTAGGCTACGTTTGGTGTGCAAGAATGAAATGAAATGCAACTTGGAATGGAAAAAGAATAAGAATGGAATGAATATTCTCATTCCAATATTTGGTGTGACACGGTGAATCGTTATGAAATGGAATGATTATTACCATTCTATTATTTTGTTGACCATCATCAAATCTGAAATGGAATAATTTTACTCAAAAATACCCTTTTCATTGGTTTACATTAATTTTTAATAAAATCAATCTAATTAATATTCTGACAATGAATTATGGAATGTTATAAGATGCCCCCATTGAAAAACATAAAAAAAAAAAAAAAAAAAAAAAAAAAAAAAAAAAATCCAAAATAAAATAAAATATTATTTTTAACTCTAGATAATTGTTAATTTTTTATTTTATGTTATCATTGCTCCATATATAAATGTTCGAAGAGAGAAAGATGGAGAAATCACACAAATGTTTTAATACAAAGATACAAAAAAAAAAAAAAAAAAATGATATACTCAAAAGATAAAGAGATTAATACCTGCAATTTGGTTGAATGTCCTGCAACTTTTTTTGTCAATGACAGCTCTGGGTATATTCAGAAGAGAGGGGAGGTGAAAGACCTTTATCATGTCTATTAAAGAAGCTCGAGAAACGTGAAAAATGGAATGTGAAAGATTTTTTTGTCTATGCGAAAGATTTTTGCCTTATTGGAATGTGATGAAGGGCTTATTAGAAATATTATAAAAATATTTAATCTTACTATGAAATGGAATGGTCATTCCATAGGTTTAGTAATTGAACGAATTTTCATTCCCTCGAATGGATTTTCATTTTAATGGAATGGAAGGACATTCCATTCTTGCACACCAAACAAATGAATGGTTGAAATGGGTATTCCATTCCATTCTATTCCTGTACACCAACCATTCTTGCATACCAAACGTAGCATCAGATTATTTGGATTAAAATATATATATTTGAAAACAAGGGTTGATTTATCTCTTTTATCAATTATTAGTACTATTAGTTTTGTCAATATCGATGAAGACAAGAATGAAGATAATTTTTTTTCTTGAAAAATGAAAATTAGATCTCTCAAATAGGCAAATTGAAAAAATAGGCTAACAACTATCAAAGCATGTGGTATGGGACTAAAGGTTATCTTATCTATCTACTTTTTAAAATGTAGATTGCCACATAAGTTAAAAGTTGATGATGTGGTACTCTATTTTTTGTTATCCAATATGTTCCATAGTGTAGAACTCAATTGTCTCATTATCTATTTATTATTTTATTAATTTAATTTAAAATTAAAAAAAAAATTAATTTTATAATTTTTTGTCTTTTACCCAATGGCTATATAAGGGCCCATTTGGGAAGTGTTGCATTTTGTAGTGTTTTGTTTTAGTGTAAAACAGAACAAGTATTTTGTAATGTGGTGTTCTGAAATAAGAACAAAACATGTTTGGTGATGAAAATTTGCGGTGAGAATTTTGGAATAGAAACATGGTAGAACATGTTTGGTAAGATATTTTGTTTCAAGAAATTTGAGAACAAAACATGTTTGGCAGAGTAAAAGTGTAACCAAAATCAGTAAAACAAAAATATGAAATATTGTTGGTAAATAGTGTTTTTAAATAATGTTTTTATCAATACATTATTTATAACTTTATTAAATATAAAGTAAAGTTTAATTATTGTATAATTTTAGTATGCAATTGATATAACTTTTAATATATATATATATTGTTAAAAGTTTATGTTGGTTTATTAAGTAATCTATAAAAGCTAATAAAATATATTATAAATTGTAAAACCTATGAATGTTGCATATTGTTTTGACAATTGTAGAACACATTGTTTCGATATCAAACTGAAACAAACTTTCAATATATAACACATTACATGAGTTTGAATATATTACAGAAATGAGTTTCATAAATATTATATCATTTGTCAACAGGCACAATAAAAGTTCATGAAGTAAAATTGAACTAGTATATTACATCATTTATCAAAAACCATAATAATGAACAACAACAACATGAGCAATAATATAAATAATATAGTTATAGTAAGACAATAACAGTCACCATATATAATGTAGTTTTGCCGATTTTGTTGAGCTTGTATACCGGTAACTACATCCTCTAACTCTTAATCCACACGACCACCCACTTGCAGACATTGGTGCATGTCATCCAACCATATAAATGCACGAACATATGACTAAAATATTAAAGACTTGTATATTATTATAATGCCCCTGTGACAATATGATGTACGCATAAAAAATTATTAATGCAAAGAAAATTGTACACCCCCCAAGCTGGACATCTATAGAATGAACGTCTACAATTCTTTGAAGTTCCAGCCGTATAAAGATTCATTCGACCCCTTCCATATGCACAAGGTGGCCAGTGTGATACCCCTCGATTCTAGAGTCACGGGTGATCAAGTTCGAGCACAGACCCGAGAGATATCAAACAATTAATATATAAATAAGTACAGAATACAAATATGAAATAAGAAATAAATAATGAAAGGCTGAAAGAATTCTAACATATAATCCTTAAATATTAAATACTTAGAATCTAATAATCCAAAACCTCGATAATAATAACAACTCGGGAATCCATCCTGTGGACCCCTATTAATATCCCAAGCTGAAACTGAAACAACTGAAATAAAATCTAAAACTAAACATAGAAAGTAGTCCTACGTAGTCGGAGGATGAGTGTCTGTATCTGTTTTGCACGACCAAGCTCTGACCCTGTGTGATACCCCTCAGATCCGAGACACGGGTTGATCAAGCCCAAACCCAAACTCGAGGGAATATCAAACAATTAATATTTTAAAACGAACACAGATGACAAAAAGATTTAAGAAATAATTATTAAACTGAAAGAATTCTAAAATATATAATTCTCAAATACTAAAGATAATCCAATAATCCAAAACCTCTAAGAGTACAACTCCGGAATCTATCTAGTGGACCCCTAAATCAAATCCCAACTGAAAATAAAATAACTGGAAATAAAACCAAATCTAAAATATGGAATGAAATCCTACGTTGTCGGTAGAATGAATGATAGTCACTGCTCAACACGATCAAGCCTAAGACTGGAACCGTCCGTTACCTGAAAACTATAAGAGTGGGTCAGGCCCACGAACAAGTTCTAATCTAACTACAATCCATGCAGTGACCCGATACGCAGATACACACTAGATATCTCAACAATAGCTATCTAGTCCATACATATATATATCCACACTAAGGGACATTCACCGGACTATATAGGGGGTTTCAACCTGAATAGAAGGTAACATACAAAATGCACCTAAGTGGGCATGAGTACCTAAGCCTAACAGGGTATACCTCAACATATAATAGCCAGCTACACATCTACTATATATACGCGCCCTAACCATAGACTCTGAGACTCAAACTCATATCGTGGTACCATAATCATATATATAAAGTCCGTCCAAAACCAGAGTATGTCATTCAATTCTTTGTTGATCTGACATAAGACTCCTAATCCGGTTAGCCACTCAGCTTACTCAATCGATCTGACTTAACCGCGAATAACAATAAATTCAGGTAGTCATTCAATTTACTCAGTCGATCTGACTTAACCACAAACCACAATTAATCCAGATAGTCACTCAATTTACTCAGTC